TGACAAAAGTCAACAGTGGGGAGTTGAATGATAGCTCTAGGCCTTTCGTGTTGCACTCAACACATCATCAGAAGCTTGCAATGTTGAAGAAATGAGTAGGAGATCCCAGCAGATTCGCTCGGTAGAACGTTCTTGCCATTCATAGCAAGAACGTTCCAGTATATATATATATATATATATATATATATATATATATATATATATATATATATATATATATATATATTATATATATATATATAAAACACTACAACCCAACAGGAAATAATGAGCGAATAGTCGGGGATCAAATTATGGTTCTCATAAATTGCTCCAACTTTTATGGGGCGTAAATATGGAGGTGCAAACACTGCTGTGTGTGTGTGTGTGTGTGTGTGTGTGTGTGTGTGTGTGTGTGTGTGTGTGTGTGTGTGTGTGTGTGTGTGTGTGTGTGTGTGTGTGTGTGTAAAGGCTATTCGAAAACTTTAAAACTTAATATGATAACTTTTTTTATAAAAGACAAGACACTACTACCATGACCTCCATTCCTGTCACTATACATAGTTAAGTGCACACACACACACACATATATATATATATATATATATATATATATATATATATATATATATATATATATATATATATATATATATATATATATATATATATATATATATATATATATATATATATATATAAACCCCTTTGATCCGCTGTTTTGAAACTAAAAACCATGACTGACAAGCGAGTCGTGTCGGAGGAACTAATGCCACTCTCTGATTACATTGTGAGTTCGTCATACGATAGTAAAGTGCTCTTTGGAACTGTCCAGTCTCTAATTCCCGCCATGGATAGCACTGTCAGAACTCCTATGCCCGTCATAAGTATTCTTAATCTTCTTGTTATTAATCCATCAGCTGATGGTTCCTGGGGTTGTTAACTCAAGTAATACTGTTGACAAAGGGGCATGCAAAGAAATGCTACGATATTCAGAAGTACTAGGTAGCACTCAGGAGGGTAAATATAAGATTGTGAATCTATTCCAGTAACTCTAAATAAGGGTGACATCCCCAGGCTGTGTACTCGTGTGTAAGAGTCATGCACGGTGGCAGCTGGTCCACAGTTAATCCATCTGCTGCTACTTTTCCTCAGTAGGCACACAACTTCCTATATCTACCTTGATGAAGTTGCGAAGGTTCTTTTGTAATCTCTCTGGTCCCTACCCGTCATCTTTCTCCTCCTCCCACATCCTTCAGGTTCTTTATGCTCTCCCTCCACCTCCTCCTCCTCCTTCATCCTAGCACCTCCCTCTCCTTACGCATCCGCGCCTCTCACACTTTCACCAAACTATTCAATGTTTCCTGGCCTCTCCCCCATATCATGGCCTCTCCCACTTCTCACAAATCTCTTCCTTTACTGCACTCTCTTTCCTTGGCTTCTTCTATCTTCCCTTTCAAGTATTGCACCACCTCTTCCACCTCTCTTTCTCTCCCTCTCTTCCACCCTCTTTCCCTTATCCCTCCGCCATGATGCCTCAGGCAACCTTCCTCCCAGCATCTTTTGCGTCAAGGTCTTATGAACTCTTAGCAAAGGCTGCACTCCATATGGTTATTTAAGCTCGGGAGAAAACGCCTGCTTTGTTTCTGCCGACACAGGCAGCGCAAATGTTTATTCATGTGTTCTGAGGAGTGGCAGCCAAATGAACTGCTACAAAGAACCCAAGAGGACGGGAAAATCAGGCTCTTGCAATCTTTGTTTTCCTCTTGGTTTTCCCTCGTCGAAACATGGTCCTGGAAGCTTCAAAACATATTTGTGCACACTCTGGAAGCTTCGGAACTTAGCTTTTTGCCCTCTGGAAGTTTCATAGCTTTCGTGTAAACACTCTGGAAGCTTCGGAACGTACTTGTGAGCACTCTGGGAGCTTCAGAACGTACTTGTGAGCACTCTGGGAGCTTCAAAATGTACCTGTGTGAATATTGGAAACTTCAGAACGTACCTTTGTGCACTTTTAAAGCTTTAGAACGTATCCATTTGCTAACAATGTTACCATTAGTAACGCTACTAATAATACTGCTAGTAAGGTGACTAATAAATTCTGGCAACGTTACTGATGCTGTTCCTACTAGTAATGTTGCTAATGATGTTACTACTAGTAAAGTTAATAACAACTAAACAACTACTAACATTATTAATCATGTTACTGTTAATAACGCTACTGATTACCTGACTGCTAGTAACGCTACATCATATGTTGGAAGGCAGCGGCCGCGGCTTACCAACATACTCGTGAAATAATTTCTGTTTCATCATTCATCCAATTTTTGAGTGGTGAATGGAGAAGGGATCTCGATTCAAGGAATTGGAGATACTTTCCTTTTAACTTGGATCTGACTTGATGACCTCGAATTCTTAAGAACTGTTGAACGTTTTCCTACAATGAAAATTATATTAATAATAATAATAATAATAATAATAATAATAATAAAGATTCTTACAATAATAATAATAATAATAAAGATTCTTACAATAATAATAATAATAATAATAATAATAATAAAGATTCTTACAATAATAATAATAATAATAGAAGACTGTAATAGTAATAAAAAAGATTCTTACAATAATAATAAATAATTAATAATAATAATAATAATAATAATAATAATCTCCCGTCCAGGAAGAACTGCCACAAGGTAACAGCCTGATTGATCAATAACAGCCTGGTTGATCATGCCCTGATCCACCATGAGGCCTGGTCACAGACCGGGCCGCGGGGGCATTGACCCCCGAAACTGTCTCCAGGTATACTCCAGGTAACTGAACTTACCTCTTAGAAACAGCCTTTAGCAGTTACTAAATTTCCAGCTTCATTTACAAATGGATCATTGTGCATAAAATTTACACGATAGCCACAAGTTGATGTTATAAGTTCAAGGAAACCATCAAAACTTGACTGATCGCAACTTGGGATCACATACCTTTCTCTGTTGGTAGATGGTCAGCACTGACGTGTCTGTTGGTGGATGGTCAGGTACTGAAGTGTCTCTGGGGGAGGATGGTCTGTACTGAACATACCTCCGGTAGTGGATGGCATTAATTGGCCGGATACAATTGAACTGTTGGAATGGCCTTTAATTGCCAAGGCAGCGTGTGTAGTATATATATATATATATATATATATATATATATATATATATATATATATATATATATATATATATATATATATATATATATATATATATTACACCATGTATCTCGACGCATATGTCTCTCGATGCGTATATCAAGAGAGTTTACTTTAATCCCAACTTCAAAAGTCAAAACTTTTCTACCCTGAGGGTAAATAAGTGACCTAGGTTACCCTGGTGTGAAGACAGATAAGCTTCAACCTCATTAACATGACAACTAAGGCAGGAGTGGCAGGCAGTGTAGCTTCGTGTCACCCCATCCTCCTACGTACACGTCTAACTGTGATTCAAAACCATCGGTGAAGAGATTTCAGCACTAAAATGTGAAGAGTGGTTACGGGTTCAATTGCCCCATCTTGACGGTTCCCTATTTTCTGTCCTCATATCATGACATTTTTTTACCTTCATGTAGTATTGCATTTAAAAGTGTTCACATTAATATTATAATTGTTTACATTTTGTTCATTGGATTTAACCTAATCTAAATTAGTGCATATAGTGAAATTAGCTTAACCACATAAAGGATAAAAAGAAAGTTTATGTGAGGAGGATAGTGTACACCCATCTTGTCGCTCGTGTGTCTAGATCAGCCTCGGCTCAGTGTTGAAGGAATGGCGGCCTCAGAACTGCCTTTTCCAGGAGAGAACTTGCCAGGAATGGTGGGAACTGGAAAGGTCGCTGAACACACCGAACATCGCTCTCCACATTGCACAGTTGGTCTCAAAACTCTTTGTGTTTTCTATCACTACTCAGAAAGGACGGCGGCTAGAAGCTTGCAGCCAGCTCCATAGATAGGCACAAAATCTAGATAATAATAATAATATTCGAGAGAAAAACAAAGTTCCGTTTCATTTAAAGATTTGTAAATTCAGTAAAGAACGAAATTTTTTGAGCGAGCGCCTTTTCTTTTGGTACTGCTGAGAGAGTCTACGGTCACTTGTTGACACGGCGTCAGGACAGGCAGCAGTATGCACTTCTGATCTTACTTGCCCCATTAACTGAAGAACATTGGTTAGGTTTTATTGGTATTGGGCTGAGTTTAACGAGTCGTAGCATATTGGGTGATGGCGCAAGGGGCCGTTTGCCGGGAGGAAACGACTCTGTTGTCGTGATTGGGAACTCTCTGACACAGGCCGACAGGTTCTGATGCTGCTGCTCTGTGGACAGACAAGTCTGAGGGAAGCTACTATGGCATTAATCACCCGCAACTGCTGGAGATCATTTCCTGTGTATTAGAAATATTTTTTCCTTAAATGGGAAGCTATTGTTGAAAATATGTTTTAGTCTGAATTGCTTCACATGCATGTGGTTGTCTAGGAAAGGTTTCACATGGGAGGATAACTCTGGCTGCGAGAGTCGAGGTTTCTGCCATGAGATTAGTGGATAGAGGATCGAACCTCCATCACTTCTTGTTGACACTGCTTGAGGCCAGGTATTAGTATACACTTGTTGACACTGCTTCGGGCCAGGCAGGGATAGTTTACACTGCCAGTCTAACTGGTCCTGTTAACTGAAGATTAATTAAGGGTAATGCTGATATTCCCTCCACCTTCCACTATCACCCCCACAGCTTGTATACTCCGAGAGCTGTATTTCTCTCAGCGTATATACCGCATGATGAGAGTTTATTCCCTGTTTTAGGGATTAAATTATTCTTGTCTGGTAGTGAAAATGTTCCGTTCAACCTTGATGACCTTTGTGCAGTCGATAGGCTTTAACCCCCATTAACCAATCTAACCATCACCCATTACCAATAAAAAGAACCCATCACCCCTCCTTGTGCAACCTGTTTAAAGGACAAATTTAAAATTCGGCAGCAGTTGGGTCGTCGTTTTTATTAGAAATATAAATAATTTATACAGTTATACAGCTTTGTTTTTTAAATGTTTTAAATAGCTATGTAGCTCTGGTTTATAAATGCAGGTATATTAAAACTCAACTGCAAACAAGGCTACATTATCAGCATATGGTTATATATGTACACTTTTTCCTTTTTTCTCGGTTAGTTCAAAACATTTTGTTCTCTAGCGTTATGTTCACATTGTTAATATCGTGTATATTGTTCACCGTTGTGCAGAGCTCTGTTGTGCACTCTTTGTTCCTCCTGGACTGTCCCATACCCATTGTTGTTAAGAGTGATGCACTATGGTCTTTGGTCTTCCCACACTTCCACATACCCTCTCCTCCACACATCCTAACATCCACACAAACTCTCCTCCACACAGGACATTATCGACCCCCTCCTTCAGTCTCCTGACTCTCGCCAGCTATTGTGCGCTTCTCGACTTTAGCTCTGCCAAACCCTGTAAACTCATCGCAACTCTACACAAGACGGTGCTCAATAGAGGGGACATTACTATGTGATCTTTGTCTTTTATGGTATGGAAAACCAAGTTCCCGCATGCCCACTTGCTGACTAATGAGCGGACCACTGCAAGACGATCAATGATTCCCGTCAGGAGACATTTTTCTCTTTCCCGACGAACTAACACCACCATCACCGATTACTAAACATGGTGCTACAATATATTTATGTTTCCACTTATCCAATAGATAATGTATATTTTTTCCGACAACTTCACATATTAAAGGCGAGTGAGTTATGGCCAAGAACACCTTCAACCGCATCTCCAGCCTTTTATCTTCATTATGCATGCAAAATATATAAACCTATTACGAAACACTCCAGTCACAGATTATATATGCTAATTTTGTAACATTATGTTTCCAAAAGGCCTTCTATATCTTACACCTTTAAAATAACACTCTATAAAAACTGCAATTAAGATCTTTGCGTAATGATATTTTATACAACTCGAAGCTTCATACTGCCCTCATTATCAGGTATTTATTTTGTATAATCTTACGCTTGCTCTTATTTGTTCAGAAAACCCAAGGAACTCGAGTCAACGGTGCCTAGTGTTTCTTGTTTCTCAGGGGGTTACCAAAGGCCTGCCAGGACAGACACCAAGCTGCGTTGAGCAGACGGAGGATAGAGTCCCCAGCACTCCCTGCGCAGGACAGCTCACATGGATTTAACGCTTCATTATATACAATCTACAATCTCGTTTCACTATGTTGATGATAGCCCGTGGTTTCTTGGAGCTGACTTCCAAACAGATAGTGATCAGGAATAGCCTGACGGTAGTTACGTGGGAGTTTCTGCAGGATGTTGGGTCGTTGTGGGTGGTGGGTGGGTGTCGTAGGCAGGGTCGTGGGTGTCGCAGTTAGAGCTACACTTACACCTCAATATCCACTCCACCTGATAGTGAACGATCTCGTAGTTGTCGCTCTTTATGTCGTCGAACTCAGCGTCGTCTTCCACAGTCAGGTTCTCGTGTTCCAGTAAAAGTTCGTCGTCGAGGTCGTCGTCGTTGTACTGACGAGTGTCATCGGTCAGGTAGTTGTCGTAGGTAAAGTCAGCGTCATTCTGAACTTTGTAAGGGTGTTGTGACCGGTGTGGGTAGGAGAGTACAGCCTCTTCTACTGGCTGACCCTCATCCATCATGTCATACACGCTAGGGGAGCGTGTGGAGGGTGGGTGAGCATCTGGGCGTGGGCGTGGGAGTGGCAAGCCGGTGTGGGCGGCGTGTGGGGCCGCCAGCAGGTTGGTGTTGGCGTGGAGCGGGCAGAGGAAGGCGATGGAGATGGTAGTGGAGGTGTGAACGGTGCAGCAGCGGTCAGGACAAGAGCCACAAACCTTGGGTCGGTAGCGACGTTCACTCACACACCAGCCAGCGCGGAGACGCACCCAGTTGACGTGTCTCTGCGTTGCCTTACACGTGTGTCCTCGCTGCCAGTAAAAGCAACCATCACATTAATAGTTACACTAAACACCATATTAGTCATGTTGCTAGTAACACTATACTAGATGGTCGTTACTAGTAACACTAGACACTATACTAGATGGTCATGTTACTAGGTGACACTACACACTATATTTGATGGTCATGTTACTAGGTGCGGTTTGGTCACTGGGGCGCTAGCAGTATACGTTACAGAGGAGTAAATGGTAATACGTGAAACTAAACAATACAAAGAAAGGAAAATAGTTAAAATTGTCTGGAGCACAACAATTAGCAGCCCTATACGCCATTCCAAGTCTAGAAGAGAGAAAAGAGAAGAGAAGAGAAGAGAGAGAGAGAGAGAGAGAGAGAGAGAGAGAGAGAGAGAGTGGAGCCTGACGATCACCAAGAACCTGGGCAGTGATCTGAGCTTCTAGGATCAAACTTCCACTGCTCCTTGTGCTTAATGGCAAGAAGATAATGTAAATTTTTCCAACCTGAATTTAAAGGATAATTTAAAATATTCCGATAAGAAGGAATTCTGTTTTCTCTATGTCTTAAGAAACATAGGAAAATTACATTAATTGTGATAACAGTAGTAATGGTGATAATAATAATTCTAATAATAATAATAATAATAATAATAATAATAATAATAATAACGTAGATGATAAGGAGGGATCCATAAACAATGGCAATGTTATGTATAAAATAAGAAACAGTAGAGGTATAAAGTGATCAGAAACTCTAAAATGCAGTTGGTGGGCAGAATTAGGAAAGTTGGTTGGAAGTGGAAGGATCCGCCGCTGATAGAATCCCCTCCTGTTGCTCAAAGGATTTAGAACTCGAGTCCCCAGGAGAGAAAGACAGATAGACAGACAGACAGAAAGGATAAGAAAGTGCATACAAATACATAAGTAGGAAGAGGAGGGGTTACGAAATTTGACAACCAGATGTATGGTAGGCGGCCTTCAGTTTCTTACGCTCCATAAACATGGGTTCTTTAGTTTTTTTTGATTGGCAAAAAACCTATACAAGATTAACAAATCGGATATAATCCCACAAATATTATATATATATATATATATATATATATAATATATATATATATATATATATATATATATATATATATATATATATATATATATAAAAGCACTGCGCTAGCCAAGGATTCGAACCCATGTTGTACTGACCTGACTCATGATAAGTGAGAACCACATGACGCTTTAAACCACAGCACCAGACAGCCCTACCCTCGCTTACCATGAGGCAGGCTAGTACAACATGGGTTCGAATCCTTGGCTAGCGCAGTGTTGTTATTAATCAATACCACTCGTTCGTGGTTACAATAATATATAAATGCTGTTCGTAAGGTTAGTACACCAAACAGGGATGAGAATGAAATTAGCTTAGAAGCTCCCACACCTCCGTATGCCCTCGGATGGCGGCCCAACAGCTAGCTGTGTGCTGGCTGCACCATTCTTGTAGGGTTGGGTGGTCCTGTGATTTAAAGCGTCACGTGGTTCTCGCTTACCATGAGGCAGGCTAGTACAACATGGGTTCGAATCCTTAGCTAGCGCAGTCCGTGGTTACAGTAATATATATATATATATATATATATATATATATATATATATATATATATATATATATATATATATATATATATAATATATGTAGTGAAGAAACTTAGTATTAAAAACATGACTCTCCTCTTAAGTATAATGCACTGGAACAGTCCCATAATAAAGGTCTCTTGACACTATATAAAGGTCAACTCAATAGAGTCTCCGGGACCAGCAGTGACAGTGTAGAAGTCGACCTTCTGCTCCGCTGCTGGAGGACCTTCTACAGTCTACTTCCACCTGGAGAGGCGTCTTGATCTCGTGAGGGGGGGGGGACTCTTGATCCAAGGAGTTTTAGCATCCTTTCTTTTTATTGCCCAGGTCTGTCCTGATTATCTTCCATTTCCCAGGTGTTGTATGACACTGACGGTTTTAGCGCTTCCCAGTGAAATAAAATTAATAATTCTGCTCGTTCTACAACCATCACTACTGCTACTACCACTACTGCTACTACCACTACTGCTACTACCACTACTGTTACTACCACTACTGTTACTACCACTACTGCTACTACCACTACTGTTACTACCACTACTGCTACTACCACTACTGTTACTACCACTACTGCTACTACCACTACTGCTACTACCACTACTGCTACTACCACTACTGTTACTACCACTACTGTTACTACCACTACTGCTACTACCACTACTATTACTACCACTACTGCTACTACCACTACTGCTACTACCACTACTGTTACTACCACTACTGCTACTACCACTACTGCTGCTACCACTACTGTTACTACCACTACTGCTACTACCACTACTGCTACTACCACTACTGCTATTACCACTACTGCTGCTACCACTACTGCTACTACCACTACTGTTACTACCACTACTGCTGCTACCACTACTGCTACTACCACTACTGCTACTACCACTACTGCTGCTACCACTACTGCTGCTACCACTACTGCTACTACCACTACTGCTGCTACCACTACTGTTACTACCACTACTGCTACTACCACTACTGCTGCTACCACTACTGCTGCTACCACTACTGTTACTACCACTACTGCTACTACCACTACTGTTACTACCACTACTGCTACTACCACTACTGCTACTACCACTACTGTTACTACCACTACTGCTACTACCACTACTGTTACTACCACTACTGCTACTACCACTGCTGCTACTACCACTACTGCTACTACCACTACTGTTACTACCACTACTGCAACTACTACTGCTACTACCACCACTACTGCTATTACCACTACTGCTACTACCACTACTGCTACTACCACTATTAACACTACTACTGTTGCTAATACTACTGCTACTACCGCTACGACTACTACTACCATTACTGCTACTACCACTACTGCTACTACCACTACTAACACTACTACTGTTGCTAATACTACTGCTACTACCGCTGCTACTACTACTACTACTGCTACTACTAATAATAATAATAATATTAATAATGAAGAAGAAAAGAAAGAAGAATTTACATATCTCTCTCTGACATCAACTATGCCCTATATTATTCATGCGAAAGCTCTAAATCCGTAGGGGTCACACAGCACTTGGGGGAATGAAGGAAACGAAGTAAGATCCGAGAATGGGTGTCGGAAAGCTTCGATTCCCTGAATCAAGACTCCTTCATCAGTATCAAGGAAGAACCCCTCCCACCTTGATATGCTCTGTAGCACCTTAAAGATAATTTAACATGTCTTGAGGATACCTTAAGATGTCGGTCACTATCCAGTCACTCACTAGACTGACGAGAACTGGAACCCGAAGCTTCGAAGCTTAAGAAATGATACACATTTTGATTTCTTTTTATTAGCCTCGCTTAAAAAAATAGTATATCACTGAGAAAAAATACTATACAGTGTTCGCTTCAATGGGAAGTTCTCTAACATCGCTGTAATCTCGTTACTCCTCTGCTTAGATCGCTCGTAAACTCGATAAAACCACAGTAAACTGATCACAGACTGGGTGGGGTTCACAGTCAGCTGGTTTTCTCGTTCGGACTCCCAGCGAGCTCACTCTGAGGCGAATAGGTCTGTTCCTTGATTGATTAGTATCACGTTTGTCTGTTTACAATATGCATATGTTGTTTCGTGACCGACTTGCGTCTGCGCTGCTCGCAACGTGAGTTTTCTTTATGCGTGACATGCTTAGGCGACGCGTATTATTTTTAGTAGTAAATTTTCTAATGTGAAGACAGAATGCTAAACTGGATAACTTTAGTGTGTAAACATGACGTTTTCAGTCGTGAGGGAAGTGGTTTAATCCTCTACAACTTCGTCAGAATACACTCTCGTGAATACAACGGAATGTAAGTACACTACTACTTTTGCCTCTTTCTGTACCTCTGTGACTTACGTATTTAGCATTCCTCCATGAATATAAACAATAATAATTATAATCATATTATTATTTAGCCCCTATTCCTTTATAAATTACTACATGTGAAAAGAAAAACATTCGTTTTTTTATTAAGTCACCCTGCTTAAGTGTGAGGCGGCAGGCGCCTTGAAAAAAAATATATATATTATTATTATTATTAATAGTGAGCTTCATAATGAGTTGATGTCTTTCTTCTGCCCGAAATGTTCTGTTTAAACAGCAGCTTTTCATAAAACATGAAATGTCATGTATGAACTTTTTTTATTTGATGTTTTTATTGCCACGGTAAATAATTTTTAGTAATTTGCCCCACCAGATACGTTCTCAGCTTCTGAGGAACATTGGTACACTAGAGGGCCTCTGTTTCTTCTCTTTCGTCATTAACTGGTATCCTACAGAGAATATGACATCGGCTATTATTTCAAGTAGTTTCGTTTCTGTGATAGCTATAATGTCTGGGTTTACTTCTGCAATCCATACTATAACTCATCATTGTACAAATCTGACTTGTTTTGGAGCCTGGATACACAGTGCCAGACAAAGAAACTTTTTTGGTACAAAATGTACTCTGTATATTGCATTTCATGACGCATTAAACTCGTATGGGTCACAGAGCAATGAGTGGTGGCGTCTAAATCCTCCGTCTAATCGTAATCTGCTGTTTAAAAGAGCCCTTTGCTTGGACTACAGTCACAACGAATTTTGATATGCGTATTGCAGAGACTGTGGAGTTGATATGATTGTTGCAGAGAATATAAGAGCCACATCCGGCTCTATATATGGCATTTCCAAACTTTTTTCATCACTGAGTTACTCTGCTATCCGAACTTTGGAATCAAGTCATGGCTTTAATCGTGTAGCTTAGCGGATAGCAACCCGCCTTGCCGCCTCCTCCCCGGGGAGCATCTCGCCCTGTCTCCTCCCAGGGAAGTATCCCACGCTACCGCCTCCCGGATACCATCTGGCTTTTCCTTCTCTTCCCCGGGGATGTTTTTTTCTTAATAGTGCCTATGTAAATTTTATTTGAATGCTGTGCCTTTGGTGATAATACTGATATAGTCAATATTCAACTCATAAAATTTTGTTGTAGTGTCATTATTTGCCTATGGTGTCAATTTTTGAATGTTGGGTCAATATACCCTCAGTACAAAAACTGTTCTTTTAGAATTGACTTCGACCGCTTTTTGCTGGCAATACTTTCTATATAGAGAAACACTGACATTTTAATGTTACTGGATAAGAAAAAGTATATGGCAATTATCACTGACCCTGATGTGATGTTTCTTGGTTGGGTGTTGAGCTCCAGGTTGGAGGTGTGGCGACGTCAGCTGCTGCTGACGAGGGTACTGACACGGTCGCAGCTGACACAGACGAGTCTGATTAACCAACTGACAGCGGGCGTTGTCAGTGGACCAACGCACAGACACACCAGCGCCACAAGTCTGTAGTGAACACCTGGACCACTTTCCCGACCCTCGCTCACACTCCGGGGGTCCAACAGCCTTACCTGGGGGAGAGATAAATTATTCTGGGGGACACACAGCCTTACATGGGGTAGAAATAGTTATACTGGGGGACACAACCTTACCTGGGCAAGAGATGATAGTTACTCAGGGGTACCCACAGACTTACTATGGGAAAAGATGCTAGTTACTCGCTCAAAGGATTCCCGGCCTTACCTGAATGGAGGGAAGGGCGGTTTGTTACTCTTTACTAGTTCCTCGTTACTCCAAGGTACTCATGCTTGCTTTCTCATCAAGGGAGGTTCCTTGACGCTGATGAGAGACTCTTGATCTAGGGAATTGGATCTGTGCTCCAGTTCCCTGAACTGAGCCTGAATACCTTCCACCCCCCCCCCCCCGCGTTCGCTGTATAATCCTACGGGTTTAGCGCTCCCCATGATTATAATCATGCATACTATTGACAGTATGATTTGTACTTTAAATGGGCTACAGCAATATGGTGGTCATAATGAACGAGGCTTGTTTCAACAGTCCTTCCTAACAGAGGTTTAACACTATGCAAGGCCATTTGCTATGCCCAAAAAATGGTCTTCTGGTGCTTTTTTTTTTAGACGATTTGTGTTGCTTATGTTTTTGCTTTATTTACCAGACTAGTCTATATAAAATTTGGGATAACGAAAGCAGAGTAATTGATAAATGCATTCAATAGCCTCTCATAGGAAACTATCACCCAGTAGAAAATCCCTCGAAAATCCCTCGTAAATCCTTCGTAAATCCTTCGGGGGTCTAATTTTATACATCTTTTTCGTTGTACAACACCTTCTACCTCTAGTCTTTCGCCATACGTCACAGGTCTCGATTCTGTTTATTTTCTCTTACGTCTATGAACTTGATGTATTTTATCCTTTTTTTTTTTTTTTTTTTTTTTTTTTTTTTTTTTTTTTTTTTTTGAAAGGTGGATGCCAAGCCACTACATTGTTCGAAATCTAGTGTAACAGTGTTGAAAAAGTGTGCACTTCGTAACCCACGTCTTTTAAAGATTCTTCAAAATTAGTCAGTAAAGAGCCAGTATGATTTTCTGGTAATTCACTCACTGGTAGTCACCTCTAAGGCCTTTTAATCTAGCCATTTTTCATAGCATTCCTACACACATTAAAATCTTCAAATCTTTCACTCATTTCCAGTGAATGAAATATATTGAATCCGAATGGCGAACTGTGGACAATGTTGAATCAAATACTTAGCAGAAAAAGCTTTTATTATTGGATGGCGTTTCGCTCTGCGTAGAGCTTTATCGGGGCCATGACCGGATCAAGCTCCACACAGCCAAACGTTGTCACAAATGAAGCTTGTTTTCCAGCGTGTGTGTGTGTGTGTGTGTGTGTGTGTGTGTGTGTGTGTGTGTGTGTGTGTTCGGTTATCTTGAAATTTATTAACAAAAACCCATTAACCATTTTTTTTACTTTGAAGCTCAGAATTAATGTGTTGTGATATCACTTTTTCCGAAGTTGACTGCACTACCGTCACGCAGAGTTGACTGCACTACCGTCACGCAGAGTTGACTGCACTACCGTCACGCAGAGTTGACTGCACTACCGTCACATGGTTTCGTTAGGTGACGCTTTGAATTAAAACTTCATGAAAGTGTTGTACAGAGGGACATGCTGTGCACTGTTGCACACACTGAGGGAGGGGGAAGTATGCTGCAGCTATTAACTACTATGCAAAAGTGTTTTTCAGAGGTGATGATACACGTGATGAATGCTGTGATATTTTCCTTCCATTCATGTGGTTTATCTAAATGTTTTTTGTATTACATGTGCAAAACCGGTGCTGTGCAAGGTGCTTACAGTGCCTAACTGCCTGATGTGCCTCACTCCACGGAACGGGTGAGGGTTTGGACACTTGGCAAGCGAGTTCTGACACCCACCCGTCCCGTGGTTTGTTTGGAATGGTGTTACTACGATTTCGTGAGTCTTGGTGTAGCTCCTACTTTCAGCACAAGAGTGCTATGTTAGCTGTCTGGCCAATTGTTTACGGTGCTAGCGGATTACTGTGCAGCTGTGACTTTAGATTTAGTGGTATGTGGTCTGCTGTCCTCTGTAGTTTTGGACAGCCATTTTCAGCAAGACGAACCTTGGCTGGTTATCTGGGAAAACTCTTGGTGGCTGCAGAGATCTCAGATAACAGATGAAACATATCAGTAGAGATGGTGGATGTCTTTCTGGTACAGAGACATCGTGGGTAATAACGCTAAAACGACTCCTTCCTCGTTTTCAAAGGCGTGTGTTGATGGTCGGGGCACTTAGTCGTAGTGTTGAATTCCGCTGTGAGGCTTCTACACTGTAGTACCTGTGCTGCACTGCTGTACCTGTACTGCACTGCTGTACCTGTGCTGCTCATGGGAGAAACCTCTGGAACTGGCCTAAAATATCTGCATTAGTGCTTTGAAATCCGTGAAGAACTGTGTTAAAGGCCCTTGTTGTGTCGCCTTGAATATATCGCTGCTCTACTGTCTTACACTCTAAACAAAACACATACGTGATTATAAGAGTTTACGTGTATTAACGTACACTGCTGCCCTAAATGGATGTTATAAGAAAAATCACATATATTAAAAATAATTTAAACAAATTTATCTTCTCAATGGGTGACTAATATACGCCATTTGGATGTGGCTAATATACTAACAAACTTGTAATGTCCTACTGTGCAAAATCATTTATTATCAAGAGTTTTTAGCGTGATGATTATCGTGACAATATAATTAAATATTTCAGAAAGAATAAAAATTCACAGTAGCATGACCGGAATAATACACAACCCGCACGTTTCGGTCTAAGTCAAGCCGAAACGTCGTCTTAAGTTTCATTCTCGTATGTGCGGGTTATGTGTATTAAATATTTCAGATATTTTAAAGTATAGTCTTAAGGGGCTTTATACAAATGTATCCAAAAATTAAATGTTTATAATGCAAGGGAAGAAGATGCACAGAAGAACAGACGTATATTGCTAGCTCACTTGATGCTCTCTCTCTCTCTCTCTCTCTCTCATTTACATCTTATAAATAACAAAACAAATGCAGCTGTAAGGACGGGCGTTTTTTTTTTTTTTTTTTTTTTTTTTTTTTTTTTTTTTTTGGCTGGCAGAATACCGTAATTATGATTCGAGGAGGGCGAGACTTGAACAGATGTGGCAGTGTGGGAACAAGTTCCTCGAGGAACGAGATATGGCTGGCTGAACTGATCATTCTAGCTGTGATTGTAGTCGTATTCACTGCAACACTCGATATGATAGAGAGACAAGCGCGCCTAGTGATCGCCGTGACACATGAAACACTAAACTGAATTGTTCCTATCAGAATAAAATCTGTTTTCAACGGAATATTAAAAGCTTATCTTTCACGTAAACAACGGCACGGTGTAAAACAAGCGTTTATCGGAACAACGTTTTGTTCTGTTAGAGCTTTATTAAATCATGAATTGGCTTAAAAAAAACTAGCAGAGCGTAACGTTGTCCCAATAAACGTTTTTTTTTTCTGCACCCTGTGCCTTTTATTCTATGTTGTTGGCAGAACACCATTTGGATCCAAATTGTTTTTTTAAACAAAATAACCGGAAACTCGTTTTTTATAAACCCTGGTGAGAAAGACTGGAAGGCCATATTGCTGTACTGATACAGAACTCGTGCTGCATCTGCCAAAAAAAAACTATCATAAGCCTATTAAGCAACTGTAATGCTCCGCATCACAGCTGTGTATTCACACCAATAAAACTTGCTTCTGCAAACGAGAATTACACTATCGTAAAAGTGTGTTTGTGTGTGTGTGTTTGTGTGTTTGTGTGTTTGTATGTGTGTGTGTGTGTGTGTGTGTGTGTGTGTGTGTGTGTGTGTGTGTGTGTGTGTGTGTGCCTGATTCCGTAGACAACTGGTTCAGAGAATCGACAGGCTGATGAATTAGACACTTCAGCATCACTTTCCAAATTAAAGGTAATCTGGGACTAGGAACAAGTGCCTGCTCTCTGATTCTCCCTTACAGTCAGGGTAGGAGGTTGGCCCATGACTTGATAAAAGTTCTACGCAGAACGAAATGTCTTTTTAAAGTCTTGCAAAAGCAACATATGTCTTATGTTTCGTACTGTTGTTAGTGAGATGTTTGAATCCACCTAGATTTATATGTAGGCAATCCATAATGTTACGTTTAGTTCTGAGAATACCCAGCAGGAGTTGCAGTGTTAAAAGCTACCCAGCAGGGGCCTGCAGTGTTAAAAGCTACCCAGCAGGGGCCTGCAGTGTTAAAAGCTACCCAGCAGGGGCCTGCAGTGTTAAAAGCTACCCAGCAGGGGCCTGCAGTGTTAAAAGCTACCCAGCAGGGGCCTGCAGTGTTAAAAGCTACCCAGCAGGAGTAGCAGTGTTAAAAGCTACCCAGCAGGAGTAGCAGTGTTAAAAGCTACCCAGCAGGAGTAGCAGTGTTAAAAGCTACCCAGAAGGAGTTGCAGTGTTAAGAGCTTCCCAGCTGTTAAAAGTTAACAGCTGTAGCTTGTATTTCAAGGTTAGGTTAACTTAAGTTTGCCAGGAAACAAGAGTCATATGATGACCCGCAACTTAAGCTTTTGGTCATCAAACCGAAGCCTTCCACTGGCTTACCGGTCCACCCCTTTAAAAATTATGCTTATTATTCTAACCATTAGATTATTAAACATTAGAATACATTTGAAGAGTTTCCCTATATGTTAAGTATTTCAGGGAACTCCCATTTACTGGATGTTTATCATTCTTTCCCCCTGTTCATTTTGTCTTATTTAGGCACGGAATATATCTTAGCTATAATAAAAACCTCGGTAATAGATACCGACAAGTTGGTTTCGAAAGAGAAGTGATCAAGGTCCCAGGACCGAAACTTTTTCGTGTTCACGTGTCTCAGCTGTACACTGAAACCGGAGCTCGGAGGCTGAGGATGGACATGGTGGTCAGGATGAGAGAAGGGAGCCAGGAGAGGAGAAGCTAAACCCTGAGTAGCTTCATAAAGATATTGGGCAAATGT